GGCGCTCACGCTTGTAATCCTAGCAATCTGGGAGGCCAAGGCAGGCGGATCATTTGAGCTCAGGAGTTTGAGACCAGCCTGAGCAAGAGCGAGATCCCTCTCTACCAAAAATAGAAAAAATTAGCCTGGTGTGGTGGCACATGCCTGTAGTCCCAGCTACTCGGGAGGCTGAGGCAGAGGATCACCTGAGCTAGGATTTGAGGTTGCTGTGAGCTAGGCTGATGCCAGGCACTCTAGCCCGGGAAACAGAGCAAGACTTTGTCTCAAAAAAAAAAAAAAAGCTGAGAGAATTCAACACCAGCAGATCTGTACTATGAGAAATGTTAAAGAAAGATTTTTAGATAGAAGGAAAATGATACCAGGTAGAAATCTGGATCAACAAAAAAAGGAATAGTTAGAACAGAAATGGTATATATTTGAGTAACTACTATATAACAGACATTTTTGCCTATTTAAAGCAAAGATGATAACACACTGTTAGATTTATGGCCTAAGGAAATAAAACACACGACAACAGCATAAAATATGAAAGGGCAAAACAAAAGTATACTGTTGTAAAGATCCTTGCATTATAGATGAAGTGAACATTATTTGAAGATGGATTGTGAAATTTAAGAAGGTATACTGTAAAGTCTAGACTAGAGCAACCACTAGAAAAAATAAATGAAGAAACATCTAATAAGACAATAGTGGAAATAAAATGGAATCATGTAAAAAAAACCCAAAAAACCTCAATCCAAAAGAAGGCATGAAAAGAGGGAAAAAAGGAACAAACCAGATGGAATAAGAGAGAAAAAAATAGCAAGATAGAAAATATAAACTTAACCATACCAACAATTACATTAACTATGAGTAGGTTTGGCATCCCAATTAAGACAGATATTATTGGACCCAACTATATGCTATCTATAAGAAATTCACTTTAAATATAAAGAAAAAAATAGGTTAAAAGTACAAGGATGGGAAGAAACCTATTATGCAAGTCTTTAATCAAAAGAAGGTTGGAGTACCTATATTTGATTCTGACAAAGTAGACTTCAGGCAATATTACCCAAAATAAAGAGAGGCATTTCATAATGGCAAAGGGTCAATTCATCAAGAGGAGATAACAACGCTTAGTATGTCTAAACCTAACATCAGCGCTTCAAAAAACATGAAGCAAAAAGATGACAGGGGTGACAGGAGAAATAATCAGTTAACTCTTCTCTCAGTACTTCATAGAACGAGTGGAGAGAAATCACTCAGGACACAGAAGACCTGGACAAACTGTCGACCAACTTGACCTGGCACAGAACACTCCGCTAAGCAGCAGAGCATCCGCTGTTTTTAAGCACACATCGAACATCCATCATAGATCATAATCTAGACCATAAATCAAACAGATTAAAATTATACAGGTTACATTCTCTCTGCCTGTAAGAGTACTGAACTGGGTATTAATAGTAGGAAGGTTATCTGGAAAATCCTAAATGCTTCGAAAATAAATAACATACTTCTAAGTAATCAGTTGGTCAAAAATAAATAAATAAATCACAAGGGAAGCTGGAAAATACTTTTAACTGAATGCAAATGAAAATACAGCATCTCAAAATGTGAGATATAGGTAAACACAGGAAAGCAAAAACGATTAACAAATTCATCTTACAGCATATTTTAGCTGGACTGAATCTATCTGGTAATTAAGTGATGATTAAATATGGGTGGCTGCTATTCACCATTACATGAAAGGGCTTAATTAATTCATGGATATTTATTAAGACTCTCCTTAAAAGCAAAGAACTTGCTGGCTGTTACTTAGGTGTACAAAGAGAGAAACCACAGAGTCCCTCAATCTTCCAGGAAACATTAAGGCCTGTACCCAAATTCCAGAGCTCAGCAGGGCAAACATCAAGGCCGTGGACGTGCAGGATGATCTGAGGCGGCCGTGGGCAGGGGCAGCCTCCCCGCTGGACAGAGCCGTGGGAGGGCAGACGGGGGCTCGAGGCAGGGCCCAGCGCGACCAAAGGCAGAAAGGTCGAAAGGCCAGGAAGCAGCTGACGAAGTGTCACCACAACACAGGCGTGGCGTGGGGAAGCCTGGGACTTGACTGGCGTAACCCGCAGACGAGCCCTGGAGTGGGAGAACCTCAGTCTGCGTGCTGGGTCTACTGTCTGTGAACAGTGTGGCCATGGTCAAGTGCCTCCCCTTCCCCGAGGCCCCCCCTCGTGCTCTGTGAGGGCACCGACCCCACCCTGGCTGCCCAGGGAGAACTGCGCTGCTGCGCCGGGAAGCGCCACGTTCACAGCGAGGCCAAGGGAAGGTGCTGAAGGCTTGGGGCGCAGGATGGAGGCCGAGGGACAGGGCTGGAAGAGGAGCAATGCCACCCTACTGAACTGAGTTCTGGATGAAGAGTGCAAGAATGCGGAAACGAGGCCGCTGGAAGACCAACAAGGGCCTCAAAGGGTGAGGCCGAGGTAGAGGCACCAAGAAAGGTGACCGAAGGAGCCCTCGTGAGACGGGTCACGGTGACTGGCCCGGAACGGGATGCAAGTCAGGGAGAAGTAAAACAGAACCCGGATCTAAAAGCACAGGCAGGTATCTGGGAGAACTCTAACCCCTAAACAAGGAAGTTAGAAAATAGATTCTGGTGGAAAAGGTATGATGCCTCTAAATGAACTTCCTGTACTGTAAGAAATAGCTGGCTTGGGGTGGGGGAATCTCATGTGACAATTTAGTCCTAGAAACTATGCATCTATTCTACAAACATCTGGCAAATAACTTGCATATACAATTACACAGAGTGCCATTTAGTCAAACACTGTATCTGCATTTTACCTTATCATTTCTAATATCCATAAATTTCTATGCATGTTTTGATTTTATTAGAAAACTGCATAATGGAAAAATGCAGGAAAATGAGGGCACCACAGAGAACTAAACGCTACTGCAGATGCATCAAAATTCACCATCGAATAAACCTTTGGTGCTGAACTTGCAGAGCCAAAGAGAATAAAAAGTGAAAAAAATCAGTACGGTAGTAAGGAAAAAAAGAATCATTTGTCACCAAGTTTTCTGCTTTGAAAAAAATTATTCAAAAAAAAAAATGCAATCAGTCAAGAAAGCCTAGTTACCTGAACCCACTAAACACACAGACCTATTAGAAAACATCACTCTAGAATAAACTATAATAGTGCAGGCTATAGATTGGTTCTGGATGAATACAATGCCAACTGGTACTTCAGAATCCACTCCCTATGGTGACCAGGCTAAAAAGGAAGACTTTAATTTCACTGTAATAGAATCACTCTCACAGACTTGGATTTAACCCACTATGTGACAAACAGGATAATAATCACTCTTCTAAACGATGATTAGAAAATTATGTTTCACTACTGTTCATTACACTTAGCTTGGGTTTGAAATTCACGTGATTTCCAAATACGATAACAGCACCCAAAGTGAAGCTGGATTAGATAAGATCAGCTTATTCTAGAGTAAACTCAACGGATGAAGGTTTGTTGTTCTGTGAGAGGGGAAAGCTTTTCCAAGCTTACCTAAGAGACGTGTAAGACAGTGTCTATTACATGCTGATGTATAAATGACTCAAGCCAATCGCAAGAGCCAGAAAGGGTGTGCCACCAGAGCTTTCTGCCCAGAACCAAACTTAGCTTTAAAAAGCATACGTGTCACAAGAAATACTAACTAGCATCCTGGGAGTAACACTCAAGTTCTTTGCTGTGGTATATGTAAAAACAAATCTCAAAAGGCAATAAAAATGGGGAGGGAGGAGAGGGAAACATCTGGATAGACTCCAGAAAACTCACCCGTGCAAAGTCAAACGCATATCTGTAAATAAGTTTAAAGTTTGTAGAATCATTTAATAATGATCTTAAGTAATCCAAAGTATTTCTGAGTTTTTCTGTTGTATCACATCTAGAAAAACAAAATAAAGGCAAATTATGACCTGGATTTTTTTTTTAATGGGGGCAGTAATATAAACATAATACCAAGGGAAAGAATAAAAACCCTTAAGTTGATACCTATTTTTCTCTACACTTCAAAAAAATCTTAAACGTACAGAAAAGTTGAATGAATACTAAGTACCCATCTACCTATCCCCTTGATTCAGCAATGAGCCTTCTTCCAGACTGCACACTCTCCCACACACATGCACCTTGGCCCTGTCATTTGAAAGTTGCAAACACAATGACACTTCACCCCTAAACACTTCAGTACCATCACCGCTCTTAATACTGAATCAATGTTAACCCTCTTAGTTAATATACAGTTCACGCACAAATTTCCCAATCATTCCCCAAATTGCCTGTACAGCTGCTATTATTTTCAACCCAGGATCCAATCGCAGACGACACACTGCTCTTAGCTGTCACAGCTCCTTACTCTGTAGAGGAGTACCTGGCCTTTTTCCTTCTTGACAATGGCGTTTTTTAAGAGACGTGACCAGTTATTTTTGTAAAGCGTCATTTTGTCAGGTTATGTCCCCGTGGTTATATTTAGGTGGAACACGTGTGACGAGAACACTACTACCGCGATGTGTGACCTTCCCGGTGTGCTGCAGAAGGAGGCTCAGCACGTCAGTCTGTCCCCTTGCTCGTGACACTAAGTTGATCGCTATGGTTAAGGTGGTGGCCACCAGATTCTCTGTTCAAAGGCACTTTCCTCTCTTTTGAAATAGGATTCATAAGTCATCTGTGGGGTGGCATCTCGAGACTGTTCCTCAACAACCTGTTCCTCAACAACCCTTCACTCCACGTGCACATTTTTTTAAAACGTCCTATTTCCCTGATGTCCCGACGTCCTCACAAACAAGCTGCGAAGACCCCACCCAGGGGACCAAGTGTACCTGCCGGTGTGACAAGGACAGCCCCTGCCACGAGGCCCCCTTCTTGCCCTCCACTGACTATGCCCAATTGACATTCAAACACACCAAGGACTGCAAAAAAGGTTGGGGACCAAGAGTTATAAAAAACAAACAAAAGCACAAACACACCAAAATGAAACCCCTAACGCCATATGCTCATGTATGCCCCCCGACCCCCAGCCCCCTAACCTGCCTGGCAGAGCCCGCTCCCTGGGCGGGTCTCCCCCGTGGCCCCCTGCCTGGCGTCACATGCCTCGCTCTCCAGGACAAGTACAATAAATCCTTTAACCACATATGCCCGAGTGCAATTTCTGTGGCCACGCTGAAGGCCACACAAGGGGCATGGACTGCCCCATTTTCCACACACAGTGGTTTCAGTATCCAGCGGTGACACCTGCCTGAATCAATTATTCTATCTGAAGATGCAAGATGGTGATTTTTCTAATCCTGTCATTCCTTCTACATTTATTGACTATCATTCTTCTACAGAGAAGAGCTCCGTGCGCCACTTTTCTTATTTTCCAGACTCAGGATTTTTTGCTTTTAATTCAGTACGTTACACTCAGCTACTAGCTTTGGACAGTGGCCCCATAAAGCTGGCTCTAGTGTCCTTCTGTCATGTCCCACTAGTTTCTGGGCACTTCCTTGCTTTCCCGCACAAGATGTTCCGGCTCACCTCGTTCCTTCCCAACCCCAGCCCTGCGACCGGCCCGGCCGTTTCTCCACGCAGCCCTGGTGATGGTGACCTGTGTTTACCAGTAAGTGACATGCTGTTCACTTTTCACATGGAAATACACTTAATTGGTTATATTTTTTTACAAATTAACTTTCTGCTTGCAATACCTAGCTCTTAAAAATGAGAATCAGGAGTCACCATCTTCACCAGCAATATTAAAGCTTTTCAACGCTAAACACGTATCTTTGTATTTCTCTATACGGCTTTTATCTACTACGAAGTATAGATAATACAAATACCAAGTATTATCAACGTATTTTGCAAATTGTATAAACTAAAATATGGTTCATAATAAAGCACACCAATCTATTCTTACCAATACATTTGTGAAAGCCCTTTTTGTAGCTAACTACAAATAAGTCCCTGTGACCTACCCCAGATGATAAACGCTCTAAGATCCAAAAATTAGAGTAAATGTTTAATTTACAGAACAATTTAGAATGCCCATTCTTTCTTTCTTATGGTGGAAAATAAAAAAGATTAAAACTATTTTAGAAGTCAGGAAAGACTTCTTCAAGGGACTGACACATAAGCTGAAAGGTAAGGAGGGACTAGATGCTTTCGGAGCGGCGGGGAAAGCTCTCCGGATAGCAGGAAGAGCATGTGCAAAGGCCCGGTGGCAGAAGGGAGTATGACAAGTCCAAAGGACTGAAAGAAAGCCACTGTCGGTGGAGTGGACAGAGTGAGAGGGAAAGAGGCTCGAGATGAGGCTGAGAGGGAGGGTCAGCACATAAAGGGCTTTTGTGCTCCACACTGAGGGTCTTTAAAATTAAATCCTAGAGATAATGGAAGCCACCTCCCACCATGGGAGAGACCTTGATCAGGCTGGCATCTTGAGACGCTCCGTCTGGACCTCTGCGGAGCAGGGCTTGGGGAAGGGAGAAGAGACACCGAGATAGATCCTAGTTAGCACTCTAGTGCCACACCCCGCGTGGGGGCGATGGGGACAGAAGGACCCACAGGAAGCAGGGAGCAGGAGGACGCCCGGGAGGCAGGACTTACTTGACATCGGGTACTCGGCTACAGGGGTGGAGTTTTCAAGGGTGTGTCTATAAACAACCATTGTAACAGGCGAGGGTCAAAGAGAAGGGAAACTAGCTAGCCCCAAAGTGCGAGGCCCAGATCGATCCCTGGTCTTCACTGGAAAGGTGGGTCAAGGACCAAAGCCACAGGAAACTGGGCAGGTTTCGACTAGCAGCTTAGTTTAGTCCTGTCCAATCAGAGTAAGAAGAGAAGTTGTTTGTTTTAACAGATTCAAGAGCAGGAACCGCTCATTGAGATAACCACCATGTAGTTAAAATAAATAAGCTGCAAGTCTTTGGGCAGAGCTGCAAGAAGAAATGAGAAGTTCTGCAGCATGCCTGGGAACAGCCCGGCAAAAAGATGTCCCTTTGTCTTACAGACGTCGAGACGCTCAGAGATCACGTCTAACGTGTAAGGAATGAACAGTTCGTGTGTTTTAAACGTGAAACGCACAAAATGATATTTCTACTTTATGTACCCATTAAGAATGATTACCTGGGGTTGGAGCCGATATTGTCAATAAGACAGCTTGACCTCCTTTAAGGGGGACCTTGTCCCCACAGAGCCCCTGGGTGAACCACCATCAGGGGAAAAGGCCTCTGAGTCACCCTGTCCAGAACCATCGGTTGCCATCTAGTGGCTACTCAACAAGGACGTCCTGGGAGGGACCGGTTCCCACGGAGCCTGGGGTCAGGCCCGGTCCTGAGTGTAAGCCACCAGCCCGGGACTTTTCAGAACACAGCCCTGTCTTCAACCCAAGTCCCCCCCGCGCTTGCCTGTGTACCATGTGTAATAAAACTCACAGAAGTCACACAATGTCACCCTCCTAAGAGCAGCACTTCCCCAAACAAAATATGCATATGAGGTGGGATCATTTATTTCAGTTTGCTGCTGTAAACAGATTCAGAAGTGACAGAAATCAGTCCGGTAGCCCCGAAGGTTATAAAACTTTACCCTGCTACCCAGGAAAAAGCCTTCGTCCCTTCCCTTAGCCCGAAGGTATTCTGCCAGCCCTTCGTCAGTTTTACACAAAGTTAGCTACAGTTCCAATTCACTTTTTTTTTTTTTTAAGCTTAAACACTCCCACCATTAGACTAATTCAACAGAGGTGACCTTAAAGCCACACGTTAGGATAAGAAAATAAATAAAACAGTTCATCAAAACAAGCGCTGTGTCTTCCCTGGCTGAGAATGATCTAGAGGGCGTAGAGACGGACGTTCCCCACTAGCTGCTGCCGTAACTTCCAGCAGGCTCCCACGCCACTGTGACTTGCTCCAGACTGACAGCCCAGGGCAGGCTGAGCACACCACTCTTCTAGGCAGAGTCACCGAGACCAAGTGCTGAGTGCCAGGGGAAAGCCGCGTGCCATCCACCTCACCCGCACCTTTCAAAGCGTGACACAGAACAATCTGTTTTCTTAAATGAAACTCTCAGCAAACACAACACGTGTACACACGCACGCACACGTGCATATGTATACAAGCACAGAGCGAATACATAAAACCCAATTTTTTATTATGAACCAAGCAACATGAATAGAATCTTTATTATTTTTTTATCAGTAGTGTAATGAAGTTTTAATTTTGCCCAAAGCCAAAATCAGAATATATGAGAGAAGATGTCTAAGATTTTCACTTTTAAATCATACTTCATTCAGCTTTTTCTCCCTGTCTATAAACCAGATGCTAAAGCCTTTGCCTTTTAAGTTCTAAACCTGCACTGTCCAATGCAGTGGTCACTAGGCACATGCGACTGATGAGCACTTGAGACGTGGCTAATACAAACTAAGATGGACCATAAATGTAAAATACTTCATTGATTTTTTAAAAAATATTAATTACATCTTGGAATGCTATTTGGGATTCGATAAAATATGTTAAGATATTTTATGTGTTTCTACTTTTTTCAAGTGGCTATTAGAAAATCTTCTTCAATTACACATGCAGCTCACACGTAGGAGACAAGGTTGGTCTACTTCTGTTGGACAGAGCTGCCCTAGAAGAATACTAACACACAGACACACACACGCACCATATAAAAACTTTAATTGCTAAAATTCACCCATCACAGTCCTCAAAATGGGTCTTGGTCTTTGGCCACTGGGGAAGTGCGGCCAGACCACCTGATCTGCTTCCACCTCCTGAGCTCCTGGGGAGGAGGGGACCGCCCGGGGACAATGGGGGAGGGGTACCCCACGTGTGCTGCCTCAGGACTTACTGTAGCGAGGTCATTCCTTTTAACCATTCCTGTAGAGTAAAATAACCCATGTTTTGTGCATCCAATTTCCAAGCTAGGACAAGCATAACTACCTGTTAAAAAATAAATAAAAAGACAAATCAAATCTCAGCAATTAAATACATATTTAACATTTTGCCAAATGCTTCTGTTCACGGTAGTTAAGTCACTGAAATATGAGCAAAGTGACTTCAGAAATGATTGCTAGTTTGGCAAACATCAAAAAAGACTGATAACATAATCTGCTGACAAGGGTTTGGTGAAACGTGTACTGTCGTGACAGTGGAAGTATAAAGTGATTAAACCACACTCCAGAGGGCAATTTTGCTGTATCTATCAAAATTAAAACCAGTTATTGATTCAGCAATTCCACCTATGGAAAGTTATCCTGCACATATACTCAAAGATGTATATATTCAACAATATTTCCTGCAGTACTATTTATAATAGCGGAAGGCTGAAAATAGCCAAATGCCCACCAATAACGGAGTCATTAAATACTTCTTTGCCAAGCATATTCCATATAAAGGAATACTACGACACCATTAAGATGAGTAAGCAGAGCTACCTATGCAAATATGGAATAGTCTCCAAGACTGGTTCAGTGAAGCAGCAAGAAGCAGAACAATGTGTTAGAACCTAAAAAGGTGGATGGTGGGAGTTGTATCACACGTACATTAAAGTCTGTGAAGTCAACTGTATACACTAGGGGGAAATTATTTTAAAGCAGCCCAACAGCACTGTGCCTGGCCCAGTCACTTCTCAGTGGGGGGCAGCCTCCCGGTTGGTGAATTTTCTGAAACTCTGTAGGTATTAGGGACTGTGACAACTTTGGTCTACAGCACGGCTTGCCACTTTGTCACCTAGCTATTTTAGAAATAAGAGGGCACAGAGAACTGATGATGAATTCTAACAAATGCCTGAAGGTGTAGAGAACAAAGTTACATTTCCAAAAGGTGCACCCGGCTCCAAGCTGTCTAAAACGCTGCACAGGGACAGAGCTGAGGCTGTCCGTGACCGGGGACAAGAAGAAGCCTTCCCTCTTACCTACCTCAAAAACCTAAGGAAAGGTGAGGAGCAACTAAAAAGAAAGTATGCCAGTCCTAAAAAGGTAAAGAAGAGGGACAGGGCCTTCTTAGGCCCACCCTGCCACTCTGAAAGGCTGGGTGGCTCTGGACAGTCACTCATACACAAGGGACACCCAAGTCCTAAGCGAGGGACCAGGCAGACACTGCTGATGTCTCTCCCCATTTGTTATTGGAAACAGGCAATGGGTAGAAATACACGTGGCTGTGATACAGTTGGCCAAGGACTAAAGATACTCCACATCTGGCAGTTAATTTTATCTCTTTACATAGAACCTAAGGCTTCATTTCAGCTACCTGAAAGAACTATCCACAAACCACCGAACCACCATCCATGTACCACACAGGGTCAGATGGTGGTGGTGGTGATAGGAATCATGATAATATAAAAACATGAAATATTAGGCAAGAAGTCATTTAGAAATCATTTTTAATGAGTCGCCAATGATTTAATTAGCCTTCGAGAGCCAACGTGTATATTAACAACTACAGAACAAGAGCATTTAGGAGATTCAGAATATCTACCCTTTTACCTGTTTGCCAATAAGCTAGTTTGCAGACTAAAAATCTCTACCTTTGTCTAATTTATATCTAGACGATTAACGAAAAGTTTTCATTAGTGAAAACTTTATGGTTTTCCACTTTAGAAAATTAACATCCATGAAAACCTTCTAAATTTCCAGGATCTTTCATCAAATAAATTAGTACACATAAATTTTTTTAAAGTCGCTAGGTTTTTTAAGATTTAAAAAAATCTAGACTACTAGATAGATTACTAGGACTGATTAGTAATGATTGTTAAAAAGGTTAAAATGATTATTAAACAGGTTAAAAATGGTGACTTAGAGACCAATGGGCTACTAAGAAGAATTTCCCAAAAAGAAGCGGTTATATGTTCTTCAAATTATTTATACATCAGTGGATTTTCTTCTAATCCCTCAGGTTTCTTGGATTTCTGACTCCTATATATCAATTTACCTAGGTGAACCAACCCACATTTTCTAATGCAAACCAGGTATGTTCCTAAACTATATCTCTACTCAACCTTCTGTCAGAAAGGTTAAAAATTCCACATAAACACCTGGCTTGAAATATGGCTAAAGAGCCCAAGCAGATAGTTGCTATGGGAAATTTTACACAAAATAGATGTTCTTAAGTTAACTAATAAGGAAGCTAAGTATTTAAAGAATTTTGCACATATCTTGGGAAATAAAAGTAGACTTGCATTTCAGAAGCCTGCTTAAATTTCCTAAGCTAAAAATATCAGGCAAGGTGAAGGTTTTAAATACTTTTAAGGTGCTTACTCATCAAGGCAGACAAGGCTTTAAAACAGCACCACTCGTTTTTCAAATGCTAATATCTCTGAAATTAGAGTGCACCCAGAACTGAAGGCGTATCAGAATTCATTTAGCAGCATTTTTGCTTTCTTAAGGATGATATCATACAACTTCTACTGGTGGCACCCTGGAATTGAAGTACATACAGTAATAAATACTTGGAATAATATTCTGAATTGGCCTTTTAGTCTTCAACATGATTCAACATTTTGAGACTATTTCTACTCCTACAAAAATGAGAGTTCTAAAGGACTTGTAACTGCCCAAAAAAGAATGACAATAAGAGCTATCTTTTATTGAATTCCGGTACTTGGGAGTAAGGCCCTTTGAGGAGCTGTGCCTCCCCCCTTTCTCTTTTCAGGTAGAATCAACATCAGTGCTCCCCTGACCCCATAGGCCTTTCTGCTTCTGAGGTTAAATGTCCAGCTAATCCCTCCATACCTGCAGCCTGACCTTTGTCTCCTTGATCTTCTTACTCCCACGTAGGCCTGGGCCCTGCTGCCTGCTTCTCTGATCACGTGCTGACTACCATCTTCTTGGTTGAACTTCTAGAGCCACTCTCGAGCCCAACTCACCCTCGCCCCTCTGATTATACTGTTCAGAAAACACTCCACCAAAAGTCAGTGGAAATGGCCTTTTCCTACATCTATGGCCCAGGCCATGGACTTGCAGGGGCAAAATACAACTGACCCAGATGTCTCCAAACCTTTGCACCAAGTGGAGCAATTATCAAAATACTAATACCTGAACTGGAACACATTAAAATAAAAAATACAAGACAAAAAGCCATGTGATGAGTGAAAGACATTCCACAGGCTCTTTAGAAAATTTAAAGCACTACTGGCAAAACAGGTAATAAGTGGGATGGTGAACAACAGAGGCATAGAAATGTTAAAGGTAAAAAAAAAAAAGTTTGAAGAAAAAATGTGAAATCTCAATTCCTAATTTTTCTTTAAAATGCATGACACGTATACATGGGCACCAGATGTCTTGGAACCAGTTTGAATGAAGGTGATGATCTCTCGAGATCTCTTCCAGATCATAAATACATTTAATATCTAGGACATAGTTGTCAAATTGGAGGCTAATGTAATATTAAACTGCATCGTTAATGAGCCAGGGCATGTGTCTATGAGCATAATTTTTCATTTTAGTGTAAGGGAGATGATGTGGGCACAGAGAAAAAAATATTTAACGATAACATGCTAAGAATTAGGCAAAAATAATTAAGCATATAAAATAACTCTTACTTTTTAAAAGGAAATACTTAGGGCTTTCACACTAAAAAGCAATCCCTTTCTAAGCTAAAACCAGGAAGTAAAAGATCTGTGAAGAATTATTGAAAATTACAACCTACTCAAAATCCTCATGAACAATTGTTCAAAAGTCCCGGACGGACGCTCCACTAGGCTGAAACCACCATGGGGAGGGACAGAGGTACACAGCACACAGTGTGGTCCCCAGATGCTCTGTTGTAGGTATACATGCCCACAGCCCTTCTAAAACGCCTAGCGTAATTACTTAATTATGTACCTTTTTAGAAACAAGGAATTAAACAAGAGGGAAAAAAAAAATGACTGTAGTTATACCATATCACTTGCAAGAAAAAAATCTGCTTACAAATCAAATTAGAATTGGAACTTTATATCATCTCATAAAAACTAACACACCATTACTTTTTTCATTATTGCTTTATTTGTCAAGGGACAAAGATTAACAAAAATAACTAACTGATTTACTCAACTCTGCAAGCTAGACTTACATTTTCGGGTTCAACACCAATGTCTTCACAAAATTTCTCCATGCCTTCAGGACCTACAACATCATCAGTACCTGCAAAATACGGTCTTATATAAATGAAATCTGAGCATGTAGTCAGATGTACTATTACCACTATAACAACATTATCCTGTCATCAAATAAGACTTAAAGGCTGCAACTCATTTTGGAAGAAAAAAAAAATCCAACTATAAATTTAAAACATTCTAGAATTTCAGTTATATCTTTAAAGGACTCTACTTTGTATAATCATTTAAATCAATTTAACATGATGTCTTCCAATCTTTGGAATACAGTACATATATAAAGCTACCTGAGTTCAATTCCTGATCTTTAAAAGTAGCTTAACACTGTACTCTTATTTGGCTAATAATTTTAATACATCCAATAACTTTTGGAAACATAGCAAAGAACAACCACATAATATTCTCTATAAAATTAATTGGGAAATAATGTATTTATTTTTACATAGGAAAAAAATCAAGTAGTTGTTCTGTTGCCGATAAAGGCAATTAGGCCCCCTTTTCTACTCTAGAGTTAGCTCTGTTTCTTCCAGAAAAGTATACACGTGTTTCAACTCTACTTTAGCTCCCATTCATTCTGCAACGGTTGCAATTTGGTTTTTTCTGCTCCTAGCTCTCCAGGGAAACTCCTTTTGCCAAGGTCTCCAATAACCCACTAACTGTTAAATCCAATAGACACATTCGATCTTACATGACCTCTCTCATATCTGAAACTCGGAAGCAGTTCTTTACAAAATTGTCTCTTCCCACAGCTTCTGGAAGCACCCTCTCTAATCTGATTTTCCTCCTTCCTCGCCCTCTTTTGGCTTATGGGTTTCTTTGCAACTTGTTAAATTCGATGTGCAAAGTTCCACCTTTAAGCCTCTTCGCATCCATTCTACACACTCTCCCTAGGAAATTCCACCACACTGGAGGTTTCAGGCCCTACCCAGGTCTCTTCCTAGCCTACAATTTCCCCCTTTCTTGGAGCTACCTGCTAATCACCATCCAACAGCCCCACCTCCTGTTAACCGCTATAACTAAACTCTACCCCAAACCTACTCCTCCTGTGTTTCCCATTTTCCAACACCACCTGGGGAGAACCGAGCCAAACGTCTCACACCAAGCCTGCTGACCCTCCTATATGCTGTCTCGGCTGGCAGCACCCCCAGAAACAGACACCTGGGCATCACCCTGTACCCCCTCACTTCCTGCACATCTCATTCCACAGCCAGTCACTGTTTCTTCACTGCACCTCTCCCGCACTGCCCGGGCTCAAGGCTTTATTCTCTCTACTACTCCAGCAGTCTGCTGAGGATCCCCCAAATCCAGAGCCTTTCCCCTGACTCCTCCTGCACACGGCCACCTGAGGCGTCCATCTCGAACACAAATCCCAGGCTGGCTTAACATCCTTCAGTGGCTCCCCACTGCCTGAAGAAAAAAATCCCAATAAGGTTCTCTATGATCTAGCGCTTCCCTTCCTCTTCAGTCCTGTATCTTTCCACCTGCAAGACAAATTTCTCAGAAATAAATGAATGGATATTGCAGAACGAATAGAAATTAAGGTGCAGAAACACCTACCCACCCGTGGCTTGCTCTGCACCATGTCCTGACACAGCCAACAACACACTACTCCGTGCCTTGCCCATCCTCCTCATCTCTCCCCCATGTCACTGGTGAACTTCGTCAACCTTTAAGACTGAGACCAGCCAGCCAGTCCTGCCAACCTCCCCACCCGCAGAGGCTGGGTCAGGCGGACCTTTGCGGCCACACTAGGAACGGCCATGCTAGGAATGGTTCCCACCTACACGCAGCACACGGAGTTGCAAGTCCCAGCTCATCTGTTTTCGTAAGCTCAAGAGCTATTCTATTCTTCTTACAAGCTCAGTATATACTACCTGGCACAGAGTAGTTGCCCAATAAAAGTTCACTGAACGGAGGAATGAATACCAGCACACAGGAATCACCTACACGCCCCCCACCCACCCATGGCCTCGAGACTCAGCAAGTCACCAAGCCCAGCAACCCACCTTCTTAAGGTGTCTCAGTTTCACTCAGATAACACTTACTAAATAAGGCATGTCCTGGAGCTACGCACTGGGGTAGCTGCTTGGGTACAAAGATGAGTAAGACGTGGTCCCCTGCGCTCACGAAGGGACACAGAGCACAGGAGTAGCTGCAATACGCAGTAATAACTAGACGACAATGGTGGCTGCTCTTGATAAGAATGAACATTAAAATCACCTGGAACTCTGGCTATAGAGTCTTACGTCACTTCTCTCCTTCAAATCCTTGGCTCCTCTAAAGTCCAAAATCAGGCCCTTCCTCATAATCTGGCCAAAGCAAATACTTTTTTCTCCACACCATTATTTTCCTTTTAATCACAAATGTGCTATTTTGTCTGAAAATGTTTTGCTTCATGTATTCAAATCTGTTACCTTTTTCTGGGATTCTTTTATTCCCATTTTATTTTATATTTTTCTATATATTCCTAATTTTCTTATCTTGATCACTGGGAGAAAATCAGGTAAAAGTTTATTTAATTTCAGGGTTTTTGTACATTAATATATGAACATGATACAAAGTTTCATTTAGAAGTAAAAAATATAAATGTTTTAAAAAGCCAAGTTTTCCCCCTAAATCCTTCCTAATGCCCAGAGACAACCATTTATGAAAGAGTAATCAATTTCTCCCAGTAATCAAGATAATAAGATTAGGAATATATAGAAAACCATAAAATAAAATGAGAAAAAAAATCTCAGAAAAAGGTAACAGATTAAAATATATGAAGCAAAACATTTTTAAACAAAATAGCACATTTGTGATTAAAAAGAAAATAATGGCATGGAGAAAAAGTACTTGCTTTGGCCAGCTCATGGGGGCCCGATTTCTTCATGTCCTCTTCCTCAAATAAGCCATCTACAGCATTCTAAAGAGAATATATTCACATTTATTTGGTGTTTTTAAGTTTGCTCAGGCAGTTGTCTTTGCTTGCCAGGCAATAATTTAATCACATCATCTTCAACGAATGATCCTTTTTGTCTCTTCCTTTATAGTATTTACGCTCCGTTTCTTGCTCTTGTCTAACAGCAGAGGCTACTTACTTCCAAAACAGCAGCAGATAAGAGCAGTGAGAGTGGGCATTCTTCTCTCAGTCTTGATTCAAACGGAAAGACGCTTAGCATTTTATAATTTGCTATGCCGCCAGCCCTGGGTTTGAGAGTGTATATATCCACATGTGTGCACTCAGGCATTCATGACACACACTACATACTAACCCATTCACACGGCAAGTGTTAATAATTCAAATGGAGAAGATATGGAGTAAAATAAAGTAAAAAAAAGGAAGCTGCTTTCTCCCTTTCTTTGCCAGTTCGGCATGTACCCTACTGGATCTATCTGCTGTGTATTGATGTATGGGCAAATGTACACCGAAATGCAGTTTTCAAATTTGTTTATCTACAAACACGGGCTGGTGCTGAACCTGCAATCCTACACCTTGTTCTTCTCACAGACCGTGTCTGGCAATCTTCCTGGGACAGTACCTATCCATCTAGCCGACTCTTGTTAGCTGATACATTTTACATCACTCCACCGCGTGTATCCACGAGCATGTGCCTGTTTATATATCATAGTTCTTGCCATCACTCCACCACTGTCAAAGATTTAGGCTGTAGAATTACAGAATTATTCTTCTGATAAGGAAATAGACATCTACTCCTATTTTGCTAAAAGGTTCTGTTTGCAGGAACAGACGCTTTTTTGGCATCTACGGATATATGACTTTGGGGAGGTGGTTCCATATAGCACTGGGGAAAAATTACTTTATAATTCTAAAATTCCTCTCTCTTTGGTCTGTATTTTAAAAAGCTCTTTCCCTACAACCTGTTCTTGAGCCTTCCAAGCTGCCTGTGTTTCCCATTCCTTTGCACACGGCTCGAGTGTCTCCCGGCTTGCTCTTTCTCACGCCACACTCCAAGCTGGCTGCTGCCTTCTCTGTCAACGTTCATCACCAAGATGACGATTCGCCATGGATCTGCCTGTTTGCCACGCTGGAAAATGAACCCCGAGCACAATGCTTCTGCTGACCGTACCCCAGAGCCTGGCACGTAGTGTGTCTTCAACAAAGGTCTGTTGATGTACACTCTGCAGTGGCAATGTAAATTGGCCATGTCTTTCCTTTTTTCCCCATTTTATGCAGTGTCATTACATTACTTATATATACATGTGTGCACGTGTTTTAAAAGAGCAAGATTTTAGAGTATGATTTGCAGTGGCATGATTCTGTCAAAAGTAATATTTTATTCAAAATATAGTTTGCCACTGAACATTATATAAAAGCTACCCATAATCCTGCCACCTAATTTTTTTAAACTCGTTATCAGTCCCATGCACACATTTAAATCTAGCTGTAATCACATGGTACATGACAAATTTAGTGTAAAATACAGCCAAAATCATGGATTCACCTGTAGAATTAAGGTAATAACTTCTATTAAATAAGCCATCAAATACACCACACCGCTGGTTAACACAAAGTGGGTTAGAAGTGGGGTTTGAGAGGTGTGGTTTTAAAAAAAATTTTATTTAAAATAATAAGCTGTAAAATGGCCTAGGTGATAAGAAACTGCAAGAGTATCTGGAAAGGCAGATATACTAACAATAATCTAGAAAAACGTGGCCGTCCCACTTTCCCTGCCACACTATGCAGGGACCCCTAACTAAACACATTTGACCTTTCATGAGGACAGCCCAAGACCCTCACGCTAGTTTCCATAATTACAGCACACTGCGTCACTGAGGCAAATGGGGCCCATGGGGTCACCTTGGGTAGTTTTTAACATCTCTTCCTTAGCTGTCAGAACACCGTGTCACTTTTTGCAACTCACATGCCTTACAGTTTTTGGTAAACCAAAAAACAGTTCTGCCATAGAATTTAATTCAAAACAGAGACTACAGGTCTAAAGTCAGGGCTTACAGAACTATTATAACTTAAGGATGTGAGCTTTAGTATAACCCTGTGGAATTAGTGTTGGCTCCTATGTATTTGACTTAATCCCTTATTCTGAGACATATTTCAGAAAGTGGAGGTTTATTAGACAAATTATTTATGTTGACTGGTTATTTTCATTCTAATGAAAAGAAATGGGACTCCAGTTTCAGAGAGAGGTCTACACAACGTGTCCCCACCCCACCCCAGCCAGTCCTTTCTTAAGTCACAGAGCTGCAGTGCCAGGGTACAAAACGGAAGCCCGTAACCACAGAGAACAGGAGGAAGAGCCCCTGATGAAGGCGGTGTTATTTATTACATTTCTGGGAGTCAGCAACGGAGCTGATAGGGATTTAAAAGGTGAGAAGCTGCACCCTGGAACGGACGGAGGAGGGCTGGGAGGAGCCGACAGGAACTCAGACGGGCTGGCTGCAGACTGCAGGAGCCATGGAGAGCAGAGGGCAGGGTACAAAGTGGAACTGCGAATTCTGGAAAGCACTGAAGGTCCATCCATGTGAAACAACGGCACCACCGGGGCCCCTCCACCCCTCCACCCCTCCACCCCTCCACCGCACACCAGATTCAAGGGAGGGAGTCCGAGTTTATCCCTAGCCCAGACCAGCTGCTCTCGCTACGGAAAGTGGCACAGGTTGGGTGTCAAAGCCCTTCTCATGCTCGTGCCCGGAGGCCTGGGGCCCCGCAGCCTGCTCCCCAAGACTCATCCCACAGCACACCCTGTCAGTCACCCTGGTTCTTCTCACACTTCATTTTTCTTGAGTAACACTGACCTACAGTTTTGATTCACATGGTTGGGATATTCGACGTGAAAACAGGAAACAACAAGAGCTTTCGGTTACTCCGGAACGTCAAGCCATTTTCCCTGCAGATGAGATACAGGAAAAGCAGGGGTGGGGTGGGAGGGGCACAACCAAAGGGGAGGTATAAAATAGGACAGCCACCTGCACGCAAACTTCTTAAAGGGAGGACTTACAAGGAACCGCTCAGCAGGGATTCCAAGGCGCCTAAATAATGTGGCTTAATGTTTATTCCCAAAATGTCACCTTTCTGCAGTCAGAGAATGGCAAAGAAGACAAATCGTGCCCTGCTTTCTTTTTAAAGAAAACACAAGTGTGGCTTATACCGTGGAAGAATTTATGTTTGCTTATAAAGGCAGGCACACAAAAGAATCAGAATAGCTGTGCTGGGACGGTGGGATTAAGTGTACCTTTTGTTTGTTTAAAATTTCTTCTTCATAATACATTTTCATAACAATAAATGTGAATCAATATAGGAAAACAAGTGATCTTCACAATCAAAGTGATAACAAACATGAGAAAACTTCATTCAGCAACCCTTTACTCAACACTTGGTAACCTGTCAATCCCTTTTACTGGGAGCACAAAAGGTTTCCACGGGATTCACGCTATAATGCAATCATCATGAAAACACATAAATCCTACCACCACGTAAGCGTTTACACTAGCGTCCACACTCTGCGAACAAAATCCAGCTCAAACTAATCAAAGCAACGAAGGAGAATTCACTAGAAAGATACTGGGGTAGCTCACAAAAACCCGAAGAACTACTACAGGAATGAGGACCGCATCCTTTTGAGTTCTTCCTTAGAAGAGAGAGACACTCTTCTCCCAGCCTCAGGTGAAAATCCCTGAAAGATTTGTCTCACTGGCCTGGCCTGAGATACCTGCCAGTGGCCTGGACCCATCTCCCCGGCCAAAAGGGGCAAGCAAGGATTTTATCAGGAAAAGGGTGGGGGCAGGGCACAAACAGCCCACGGGGGGGGGAAGCCTCGTTATGATACCAATAAAAGGAGATCAAAGCAAGTTATGAACCACCATCCTATGGGAGAATAAAGAAGGCTATTAAGCTAATGAAGGAGCTTAAAAGAGGGACAGAGCATGTCAGATGGAAAAGTGGAGAGAAGCATTCCGTGCACAGGGACGGTGAGTTAGTTGTTTTTTATCCTGTAGGTAGCAGGGATGTTTTTAGTAGAGAAGAGGGGAGAGATTATTAGGGAATAACACACATGATCTGTTCTGTTTTTTTTGTGTTTTTTTTTTTAAAGTAAGACAACAGGGGCACACGGAACCTGGTCTGGTGCAGAGACTGATGACAAGAACACTGGTTTGAAGGTTGCTGGAAAAGGCAAGTTGATAGATTATGAAAGGGCCTGAAATAAGGGGAGGAAGAAAAAAAAAAACAAAAGAGCTTTCAGCTCAAACTTGTCTGAAATTTTCTTTTTCTCTTTTTACACCATACACAGCCACAATAATAAGTCCTAGACTGTGGTATTATATTATCCAACCAATTACAGCAAGCTGCAAAATGGAGACTAAATTTAAGACATTTTAAACGACAAAGCAAACATTTTCTGCCAAATGATCTTCCCAAACAGAGACACTTAATATAAAGACATATCCACTGCAATGCTTGAGGGTCCAAAGCAGCACAGCTATTTTAACTTCTGTGCTTAAACCAAATCATCACCCATTATCAGCATTCTAAATAGGTTTCTTAGCAATCCAAAGAATTTCTCCCAAGTGCATTTCATCTTTTCAGTTCCCTTCTCGTGTTCTGAATTCTTGGCTTAGCTGCTGGCTATAAATAGGACATTTAGTGATTTGTTTCAACTATGTCCCTCCCTCCCTCCCCGCTCTCTTCAACAGGGACGGACGGACGGACACACACCAAATTTGAAAAGCACACATTTTCTAAATTCTTTAATCTCCTCTCAGGTATTACTTATTTTATAAGGATCAATTTTAGATGGCATAAATGATTACCTACCTGCATATTCATAGAACCATTCTAAGCACCTCTTACTTGAAAAGGCTTCGTCTTCAGTCTTTATTCTAGTTGAATCATATTTTCTATACATGCTAGAAATTGAAAAAGCAGTTTTAAGTTATTTAAAGACACTGAGGTTCTTTTAAGCAGCAGATAATTTTTATTCTTTTCTCCAAACCAGACATCCATTCAATCAGTATTTTAAGTATATTTTAAACATTTTATTTCTCACATTTGAACATTTCAGCTTTTATAACTACAGTGTTTAAACACAGTCATCCCTAATATAGAATTAAATGACAAGCACTTAATACAAGTTTTTCCCTGATTAACAAATAATCAGTAAAAACTGAATGGAACAGGTATTTGATATACTCCCTTCTGCCTCACTAGCCAGAACTAACTACAAAATGATAGTGTGATACGGTGAGAAACGTCTCGGGTGTACTCTCCAATTAATCATCCTAAAAATCACTCGTGTCTCTCCATTAAGTTCTCCTGACTTTTGTGTCTTACAAGTTAGGCTGGTCACAGAGCAGAGACTAAGGAAGAATCTGCCAATTTTAGACAACTCCCGAGACCATTAAGCAAATACACAGAAACATCAAATCATGTCCAAGCTTCCAGGAAGAAAATAAACTCAGGTGTAAGGTTGATGAGAGAAAGCCCCTTGGATGGTTTCCTGATTAGTACAACCTTAAAAACCTGAGGAGAGAGAAGCACAGAGAGCCTAGCTTCTGCTTTGTCGTCTAATTCTAGCCCTGTGGACACACTCAGCCTAAGCTGGGGAACTGAATCAGGAACCACAGAAGCCTCCTCCTGCCAGTCTGGGGCCTTCTGCAGATTTCCTTATTTCATGATAACCAGGGGCTGAGGATGGAGATGTTCCCTACATGGGAAGGGGGAGGGACAGTAACTTTAAAATAATGATTTGGGGCCAGGCGCGGTGGCTCACGCCTGTAATCCTAGCACTCTGGGAGGCCGAGGCGGGTGGATAGTTTGAGCTCAGTCAGGAGTTCGAGACCAGCCTGAGTAAGGGCAGGAAGACCCCTTCTCTACTAAAAATAGAAAGAAATTAGCTAGACAACTAAAACTATATAGAAAAAAAATTAGCCAGGCATGGTGGCGCATATCTGTAGACCCAGCTACTCGGGAGGCTGAGGCAGGAGGATCCCTGGAGCCCATGAGTTTGAGGTTGCTGTGAGCTAGGCTGACGCCATGGCACTCTAGCCAGGGCAACAGAGTGAGACTCTGTCTCCCAAAAAAATAAATAAATAAAATAAAATAATGATTTGGATATAAAATCTGAGTATACACATTTTTATAGCCCTTATTTATATATAAATTACCCAGTTATGTATATAAGCATTTTCTAAATATACTTGTTGTTCATATGGTATATATAAGATATAATAAAAATCACACACAGTCATCCCTAGTGTACTCAGGAGACTGGTTCTGGAACCCTGGCGACACTCAAATCCGCCCCTATTCAAGTCCCCCAGCTGGCCCTTCAGGACACGCATATACGCACAGCCGGCACCCCACCAATACCAGACTTTCCTGCCACATTTTGGTTGAAAAAAAGCCCCCATATAAGTGAAACCTCACAGGTCAAACCTGTGTTGTCCAAGGGTCAACTGTATGACTCTTTTTACCAAACATTTATTCGTGACCTAGACATTAACCAGATCATCAGTATACGCCTCGGATTAGAGATTCTGGTTTTAACACCAAAAAAAGAACATGGTTATAGGGTGTTAAATGACTCAAACTGCTAACCACCAGTTTTGTATTTCTTCTGTAAAACGTAGCCTTACTACCTGAAAACAAGGTCGAACCGATAAGCTCCAATCCTGGGCTTAGACATTTCTATCTCAGCTCAAAACCCACAACTGGTCCACAGCCTGGAGAACTATGTATGGCACTATAATATTTGAATTTCAAAATGCTCTACATTTAAAAAAAAGAACCAGGCTGGGCGCGGTGGCTCACGCCTGTAATCCTAGCACTCTGGGAGGCTGAGGCGAGTGGATCACTCAAGGTCAGGAGTTCAAAACCAGCCTGAGCAAGAGTGAGACCCCCGTCTCTACTAAAAGTAGAAAGAAATTAATTGGACAACTAAAAATACATAGAAAAAAATAGCCAGGCATGGTGGCGCATGCCTGTAGTCCCAGCTACTCGGGAGGCTGAGGCAGGAGGATCGCTTGAGCCCAGGAGTTGGAGGTTGCTGTGAGCTAGGCTGACGCCATGGCACTCACTCTAGCCTGGGTAACAGAGTGGGACTTTGTCTCAAAAAAAAAAAAAAGAAGAAAAGAAAAAAGAACCAAGACCATACAATGGAATATCATTCAACAAATAAAAGGTGCAAAATACTGATATATATACTATTACATGATAAGCCACAAAAACATGAGGCTAAGTGAAAAAAGCAAGACACACAGACCATTTATATGAAATGTCCATAAAAGGCAAATCTGCAGAGACAAAGTGGATTAGTGGTTGCCTGGGGCTGGAGTGAGAACAGAGAATGACTGATCGGGCATCAGGGATCTGAGTGGGATGATGAAAATGTTTTAAAACTGGTTTATAGAGACGGTTTGAACAACTCACTTAACTTAATAAAAATCACTGAACTGTACACTTAAAATGGATGAACCTTATAGTATGTAAATAAAGTTGTTTAAAAAAAAAACAACCCAAGATTGAAACTCAAACTACAATTGAACTGCCAGTTCTTAGTCTGGCTTTATCACAGTAAATTATATTAGACTGTGGTAAAAAATTAGTAAGTGCTATATAGTCATAAAATGCTATGTGGTTATTATGATTAGACAATTCCCTGATAATAACATTCATACCGCCCAAAAAGTATCAAGCAAACTGGCTTCCTAAAGTTGAAAAGTCACTAGCCTCAAGATTGCTGGTGATTATCTTCTAAATCACGACTACCTTCTTTCAGATAATACTCATTTGAGATATAAACAGGGACATTATGTTTACATTTTCAGAGTCCATCTCTCTATCCCTCCAACTGAGTTGTAATAGATGAAGAATTACAGCAAGAAACAGAAAATCTCATCTAAATCCCACTGATTTGTAGATGTGAAAATTCAGGGCCGTTAGTGAAGTGACTCACAGAGCCAGAATGGGAAAGCAGAAAAAGGCACAAAAGATCAGACTATGATAACTGTTCACTGTTGTCTTTAAAAAAAAAAAAAAGGAAGTAAAAGTACAGCACTTATTAAAATCGGGGCAAAACAAAGATGCCTAAAATAAATCTAACATGCTTTTGGAGTTATCAAAATTAACAGTTCACTCATCTGAAAGAGAAGTGGTTTCAACAGTCTTGTTTTTCACAGTTTCTATCAAATTCTCACTCCTGTGAGAATAAACCTCGGCTCGGCTGACGTCCCGGGCAGGTGTAGAGCATTCAGCACAGGAAGCTCCCCCCAGCCCCGCAGCTGGAGTGAGGGAGTGAGTGAGACCTTCTTAAAGAACAGAGACTGATTCTGTGGTCCTCAATGGGCACAGACAGAGAGGCTTTTAAAGGAGGGAAAAAAAAAACAAAAAAATCAACTCTACCCCAGTTTTGGTGGATCGATGGACTGAGACAAAACTTTAATTTCTAAGAACTCAAATCACCGAATTTGTTTTTCTGTTCTACAAACCCAGACACAAAATGACGGTCACTAAGTAACTACACGTTGAAAGACCGCCTGGCAGAACCAAAAGGGCATTCCAGTTGGCATTTGCACTTAGAAGACCCACGCTGGGTCAGGTAGAGACGTGCATCGTCGACACACGCCTCATCGATTTTCGCCCGCCGTCTCCGTGCCGTACCTATCGTGTCTACTTTTCTTGGCAGATAAATCATCTCCAGAGGCGGGTCTTCTCTTTTTCCTTGGTGGCATCGCTTTACTAAAGCAGCCTGAAGAACTGCAAGACCGCAGACTTCCTGCAAAACGAAGCGAAAGAGCACAAAATTAAGGTACACCGCACTGGAACACTTCCAAAGGATATTATCGCCAAAGTACAGATTTTCATGGCTTGTGCTGCAGAGGGCTTAGACGTTAGCTGTAAATGCTATAAAGAGAGAAAATGGTTTTTAGTTTCTCTTTGAAAAAATATTACAGTGAAGAAATAAACCTAGCAATGACACACAAATAATACTTCCCATCAACCCAAATCCCACCAAAAATAGAAGTTATCACAATTTCAATTTACTCTCCAAAAACACTCATATAAATCATCTGAGCTTCCTGCTTCTCTTACATGTCAATGTTCCTTCAAAAGGCACTGCACTGCTATCTCTCCTTTCTGTATTTCGTGAGGCAAGAGAATCTCAACCAGTAACCTTGACTCTAAAACACATACAAGCACGTCAGTCCCAACACTCTTGAGCTTCACGGGATACCTGATTTAAAAAAGGAAAAACAAAACAGGATTTGGATTTTGGGGGCAGAAGCCTGATACGACGTTGAGCAAAATTTCCACAATTATTTTCTTTTGTTTCTGCCACTGGAAGAAGATTCTGCCATTTGCGGTCAGGAAGCATACTTTCACTGGGTAGAAGATATCAACATGTAGGAACAACAGACAATAATCACAACAGCGTCAAGCACTGATTGAGACCTTACTGAGAGCCGGGCCCTGCTCTGAACACTTGCACGTACTGAGTCAAATAAGGTCACAGCAAGCCGGTGAAGAAAAAGAATCCCGACTGCCTTATGCAGATAAGAAAACAGAGGCAGAGCGGGTTAGGGACGTGGTAAAACTGAGATTCAAACCCAGGCAGTCTTGTTTGACTGTCTTAAACTGTCATAAATTGCAAGACAATTAAAATGCACCATCGTGGCACAAGTGTCATGAGATATTATGTCATTTGGGTCCCACAATGACCCTGAACGACAGACAAGACAAACATAATTATTGCTACTTAACAGTCGGGAAGAACCAAGGCTGAGGCGTTCAAGGGACCTTGGGAGGTCTCAGGAGGAAGAAGGGGTGAGTTCTGGGCCGCCGTTTCTCCCTGCCTCGGCGCCTGCTGGACGGACCTGGGCCCCAGGGAGCACGTGGACAGGACAGGGCCGGGGCGCTGGGGTTGAAGGATCTGCAGTCAGCGTCAACCAGCGAGTCCCAGCTCTAACCCTGCCTACGCCGTTCCGCCACCCCCTCACCCACCTGGTCTTTCACCATCTGAAGAATAAGAACGGTGACATCTACCTCCTACGACTTTCATGAGGACAACACATCCCTTCAGCAAGCGCTTGGATGCCGGGGGCTGTGCTTAGGGGCTGGGGACACAAACGGGTTCTGACCAGCACAGCGACAAGTGCCGGGCCTGCGCTCACTGGGCTTGAACGACACAGCTCTCTGTCACGTGGGTATGGCTGGCGTGCTCGTTTTCACAAGCAAGGAATGTGAGGCAGACAGGGACTCGAAGTCACAGCTGGGAAGCGGCGTGCGGAGCTGAGTGCGAATCCAAGCAGCCAGCGGCAGGGCCCCAACTCTGGGCCACCACTCGCTGCCGCCTCTATGGGGCCCTGAAATTGGGACACTGTGAGAGGCACAGAACTAAGGACACGGCACTGGGGAGTGTCCAGGGGCTAAGAACGGGAAAACCTGGGCAGGGAGAAGCCCAGGAGAGCGTAATGAATCACCCGGAGGCCGAAGGTGGAGAGAGCGCTTCAGGAAGACAGGGCTCGAGGGCAGCCCAGAGGTGGAGGCAGGTGAGGAGTGAGGGCACACACCGGCTCTGAAGGCAGGGGCCTGTCACACTAGCCAATGGTCACAACCTTGCTAAGAGCAATGCTGGGGGCTGGAATCTAAATCCCCGTTCATATTGAGGCTGCTGAGTTCCTAGAGTGACTTGCTTCAGGAACACGCAGCCAAACGCACCCTCTCTGTTACAAATCAGGAGAACAGCCTCGATGAGGCTCCCACCCGGCGTGTGGGCTCAAGGCCCTGCTCGCCCCTTCGGCACAGACCCAGAGCCCCGACAGGTCTAAATGGAGGACCTGCAGTCCCCTTTCCTGGGGCCCGCCCACACCCTGTCCTTCCGAAGGTGGGAACAGAGGGTTCTTCAGAGACACAAGGCACCCCCTTCTCTCTCTCCCCGCAACTGCAGTGACAACTGGAAGAGAAAGAGCCAGAGAGAATGCTGCCTACCACCCCACACCCTATTCAGTGTCCCTGAAAAACAGCGCCCCAGTTGCAAACAAGAAAGCATGCTACAAGGTCCAAAGAATTGCAGCGAGCCAAGCTTTTGCAGACTGCCGGCATACAAGATTTATTCTCATCTATGAATGCCTTGGGGTGGGGCTTGCCGTCGCAGCGCCCGCCACACTGCCCAGCGATGGAAAGCATCCTGCATCTCGAGGCTGGCTTCTCCCTCCTTGGATGTGCTCGCGTAAAGGAGGGACATTTTATTCCAACAGCAGTCAGGGTTTGGTTCTGAGCACCTGGTCTGGCAGCAGCCGCCCCTTTCCACAAACATTTGCAGAACACAGAGGAAAATGCACTTATCTCCTCAGTCCGTGGGAAGAGGAAGACTGTTTAAAATAATGTCTTCACCAATATTCCCAGAAAATGTGGGTTCATTGGCTCCTCTACCACCTGCCTCTGCATGGGAACACTGCTGTAACGCCTGGCTTGCACCGAATCCTGCCTGTCAAGAGTGGCATGCTTTTGGTAAACATACAAACATAAGTGAACCAACTTCTTCAACTTTGTCTCGTTTTTTTTCTTATTGATGAATGCTTTCTGTTAAAAGTTTCACAAATCACTTTTTCTTGTGTCTGGATAAAACTCATCCATATCTTGAAACCCAAACCTTCCCAGATCTGGCAATTTACTCTTGCATTTATTCAGAATTTTTATCTCCTAACTAAGAAGCATGACTTTTTTTTTGAGATCTCCCCACTCTAATCATCCATCAGCGTAAGTGAGAGACTGTGAAGGGACCAGTCTTCACAGAGAAACCGTACCCTTGCCAGGACGTCCAACCCAGCCCAGGCTCTCGGTGACCCTCGCACGCTGCCTCTGAAGAGCATGAGGTTAACTCAGACCAAGGGACCGGGAGGGACCAAGGACCACATGGCACAGCTCTTCAAGGCAGAGCCACCCTGGGATCCTTGATGACAGTGAAACGTTTCAGGCTACACAGAAAGCAATTTTTTAATGCTAAGGAAAACAAATTTGCTTAAAATAATAATTTGCTACCATGCACTAAATCAGCAAAAGACACAGAGCACCTGGCTCAAGTGTGTCTGCCCCAGCCTGCTGCACACACCGTCTGTCTCCACCGTTAGCCCCAGGGTCCTAACTGAGCAAGAGCAACCGCTGGGATTTTTCAGGAGCACGTACAAAGGTGCACAATGATTTGTGAGGTCCTCTTTGGTTTACCTGTGCATACACAGCAGCTAATACAGATTACAATAATCAGACACAAACACTGAGTCATACAGTAGACTCTTAATAAATTACTTGTTGAATGAGTATGTTTCTAAAACATATATAAATCACATTCTGTGAAAAAATCAGTACCTTGCAGAGAATTAAAACACCTACAAGTAGATAATACATCATCATTTCAGATTGTTCTCCCCCACCTGTCATTAAAATAAACACTACTGGTCTCATTGAGAGTTAATACTCTGGAAAAGAAAGAAAGAAAAATAAAAAATTTAAAATTATATAAAAAATTTTAAAAAAAAACCCACTGGACTTTTAAAAAAATTCTAACTGCCAGAAAACTTAAACACAAATATTTAAGGAGTGTTTGCTTCTTAAAATAATTCTGTGACCCCTTTTTTACAAAAATACTGAAACAAATATGTTCTATAATATAAATTTGTATTTATTTATATCATTAAATTTAGACTTCACTGACTCAGAACTTGCATCACTTAATCTACTTCAATTAAAAAGTTTATCTTTAAACAACAAAAAAATGGAATATGCAAATAATATAAATAAGAATGTTATGGAAAGTTGTCAGCTTCAGAGAATGAGCCGTTTTATCCTTTAAAAGTTATCTACTTAAGTACAAACCATCTGACATCATAGGTAGAGGCGAATATATTAAGGCTGATGCTTTAGTATATTATTAACAATAATTACAAAGCACTTTCAAAGTTATCTTATTTATCTGCATAAACCTGAGAGGTGTTTCTACATTTCTACATTAGATGAACAGTGAATCTGAAATCAATCCTCCTATCCTTAGAAGCTCTTTCTTAATGCTGTGGTGTTTATATAACCTTTAGGAAGGCAATAAAAATTATATACAGTTTTTACCCAATGGTTATGATTTGAGTTCAGGTTCATTTCTTTTTGATTCAGTGTTTCAAGAGAACACATTAAATTTTTTTTTAGCTGACCCCATCTGATTTCAAATAAATCAGATAGTCAATGCACACAGACTTTTTTCCCCACATTAAATAAGCAGAAATATTGCCAACATTTTTTCAACAGGTTTATCCTGGTATTTGTCACAGAAAGTCAATTTTAAAGGGCAACTTGAGTTCACCTGGATCAAACCAAAGACCTTTTAATGTTTATCCAGCTTGCTCTTTTAATAATTTAACTACACATGTTATTCTTAATAAACAGTGCCTACTTAGGCACTCCACTGTCTTTTTTTTTTTTTCCAATTTTTTTGCTATGTGGTCCTCAGGTAGAGTCTGTGTCAGGATTAATTTCCCATAAGACACATTAAACTGTGTTCCCAATTTCTAGTCATCCCCAAGCAAGAGGTCTACACAATTAGAGAATTTTTCTGACTCTTCCAAACTTCACACAAATGCATGTTCCATACAAAAATCTCACAAAATATTCATTCTAGTGAGCTTGTATCATTACCTTATTTCACTAATAACATTTTACATGGTTCATTCTGCCACTTCAGTGCTTTTATATAGCTATTTCACCTCACTTTTCACTCAACGTGTCACA